CGGATAAATTACTTTTCAAAACGAAGGGTCTTCCCCTGTCGTTAACTTCCCCTTCCTCCCCCCCTCTAAAAGCAAAGAGTCACGTTTTTTTTTTTTTTGTTTTTTTTTTTTTTTTTTTTTTTTTTTTTTGAAAAAAAAAGTGCGAAAAATTGAAACAAATCAAAGGACAAGAAAAAAAGAGGATTGTTCTGTTTTAAAGATAAAAAAAAATCCAATTTAGTTCGAATAAAATTTTCCATGACATTGAATTGGTTGTTGAAGTTGTTTGGAAGGCCGTCGCATATAAAATTCCTCCTCTTCTTCAACCAAATCATTTTGATCCCAGTCTTCAATACCACTGCTACCCAGAGAACTAGAAATGCTACTTCTATCACTTTTATCTTCTTCAGCTCCTACAAACCGAACAGATTTCGTAAATGAACTTTGTCGTGCGCGAAATTGAGGAATAGAATTAAGGGAAGTATTGGATGAATTTATCATGGATTTTGCATTAATTAATTCTTCTCTTGATAAGGATGGATAATAATTATTATCCTCCGATGAAGTTGAAGAACATGAAGAGGATAGTGAGCTAGACCTCTTCGGACGGTAAGGAGGTGTACTAGGTAGGATATTTGGGTGAAAAGTAGAAGCAGGTGCAGAATGTGAAGAAAGATAGGTATCAAAAGATGGAGGCTTTCGTAAATGTTTATGGCGGAATGAACGGACTTTCCGACTTTGTTTTGGTGGATTTGGTGGATGCGACGGCAAATTGGATGAACTAGTTGTCTTTACGGGCGATGATGAGAGAGACATAGATGCTGTTACCAAAGCCGTCGACGCTGTAGTATTATAATCATTTGTTGTTTTCAAGATAAGTCTCGGAGTTGCACGATTGCAAGTAGTGTAAGTGGCAGTTGTGGTTGTCATTTTTGTAAAGTGTTTAAAAAAAAAAAAAAATTATTAAAGTGTCTTCGCGTTTTAATATTGAAAGAAAATTCAAGAAATTATTCAAAGATGAATAATATTTTTATTGAGAATATTATTGAGAATATTGAGAGAAGAAATTTTTTTTTTTTTTTTTGTGTTTAATCGCTTGAAATCATTGACCCTTTTTATAAGATATTTTTTTTTTGACGCTCATTTTTTTTTTTTTTTACAGTAATCAATTCAGAATATATTATATATTTATGTGGCGTTATTATAATACGAAAGTGAATAAAAAAAGTAATGTATATTTTTATACAGTATAATAAGATAAATAAAAAAAATTGAGTATGAATTGCTTGAAAGAGTTTGTGTTTATTATTATTAATATGAAGATTTTTAAAATGCAGCATCATATATTTTTTTGAATACCTGATATTCAATATATTCAATATATTCAATATTGCAATAGTTATTAAACGTAAAATTGCTCAAGTTTTTTTTTTTTTTTTTTTTTTTGAAATTTTTTATTTTTGACTTTTTGACGTTTAAAATGACAATAAAATATTTAACACTTGAATTATACTTGAAATTACAATAAATAAAAAAACCATCTATTGATACGATTGAAAATTTATTTATTATATGTTATTGTAAAATATAAAAAATAAAAAAATAAAAAATAACAAGCAAAGACTTTATGACGAAGGCTTTTTCATTTTATATATCTGATATGTCAAAAAATAGTTTAAAAAAAATATAATATACAGTATATTTTTAAGTATATATATTTTTTGTTTGATTAACTAATTATATATATAGGAGCGTGATAAAAAAAAAACACTTAAATTAACAGCTTATTTTATAAAATCACGATAAAAATCTATTAATCACCAATATTTTATTAATACTACTTTCTTCTTTCTTAAAATATATATTTTATTAATACTACTTTCTTCTTTCTTAAAATATTAATAATGAAATTTTTTTTTTTTTGAAATTATATTCACTTTACCAAAAATGATAAGAAATAATACATTTAATTCGGTTTGTAAAAGTTGTGTAGCCCGGAAAGCTTTAAACACATCAACCTTGTTAAAGGAAATTTCCATTACGCTCTTTCTTATACAAGGTATTACCAATCCTATCTATTATCTCTTTGACCCTGTCTTATTTTAGGAAAGAGATCTATTACATTAAAATTTGTACAATCGATTACTTGGATTTCGGAGGAAAAAACCAAATGTAGGTTGGGTTATTTAAGTACGATATTTACGAAATTATAAGTCACTAGATAAAAATTCCATATATCAAAGAGTTTTATTAATAAATTCACTATATCATTATATCAAGGGGACACTTTTATATAAACTGGTTTTGAAGTTATTTTATGTTCACTATATTGAGAGTAGTAAATTACATATGGGACTAATGAAATATGTGAAATTGTCGAAAATTTGTGATAAAAATTTTTCAAGTGATAAAATAATTTGGGGATAAAATAATTGGGGGATAAAATAATTTGGATAAAATAATTTGGGATAAAATAATTTGGGATGAAATAAAATAATTTGGGATAAAATAATTTGGGGATAAAATAATTTGGGATAAAATAATTTGGGATAAAATAAATTTGGAATAAAAGGTATGTGATATGATACCCACATTATGGTTAAATTTATGTATCGACAAATTAAATACCTAAATTATCTTTCCGGGTCATTAATCCAAAAGCCGACCTGCATATTCCGAAAAATAAAAGGAACAAGGAACAATTATTTAATACTGTATAATAATGCAGTACGTCCTGAAATAAAGATTCAAATTTTTCACAAAGAATTTTTTTTTTTTTTTTTTTTTTGAACAATATGAAGAATAAAATGTATGGTTTTTTTAGTCATGGGATTGTACGTTGTGCAGTCATGAGTTTAATTTTAATAATTTTGATAGTTTTTGATAGGTACAAATTTTATAAAAAAGAATGAAAAATAAGGAAGTTTACTAAAAGTATACCAATGTAATTTAATGAAGAATAATGGTCAATACTTATGTATTGATTTCGAAACTTTAGAAAATATAGTGGCTGAAAATATTAGCCAAAAAAAACAAGATTAATTCTTATACATTATAATTGCACACAGATCTTGAATTGGATCTCAAAGAATAATGAAAACAAGGAGAAGAATCTATGTATTTTTTTAAAAACGGTACAGATAACAAAATATAATTGAAACAATTGGTGTTTATAGGCCTATCTAATTTACCAAATAATCTTTTTTTCCAGAGATGTAGCCAAGTATAGAAATCAAGAACAGCCATCTACGATAAAAGTTACTTTTCTGTTATCATCGTGCATAACATAAAGAGAGTTTTATATTTTTTAAGAGGATAATTATATGCTATTATGGCTGAGATTTTATGAATGGGTTTATAAAAGAGGTTATGAATGACTATGATTATAATTGAAATGATAATTGAGATTATAATCGAAGATGCGGGTGGTTGATCGAAACGAGCGGGCGGAAAGAGCGGTCTTTTTTCAAACAACAGGGAAAAGATTAACTCTATTGTTCTCAAGAAAAAAAATAAGCTTTTGGAATTTTTCATGCAATATATTCGATGAAATTATTGATCTACTTTAATTTTTTTTAAACTTTATAATTTGTGCAAAATTTCGTCATCAAACTTTTGCTAAATCCTTTTTTGTAATTGCTATGAACTGAATGCGTACAAAAAAAAAACTGTACAATTACAATTATACCTCCTATGAGTAAATCTATACATATATGGTTTGTGCGTGGAGAACAGATGACCTATTCGCGAAACCTCGAAAAAATTTTCGACATATGAACAAAGAGTACGAAGCCAAATATAACGTAAGCAACTTTATTGTAAGAAAGTTGTAGATCATCTTCGCACGACGATACGCTACTTTATGATAAATATTAAAAGGCTTAGAGTCGTACTATGCAAAGGTTAAAAAGAAAAGTTAAAAAGGAGGCGGGGAAATTCAATTCAAAGAATTTCATTAGCCAATAAAAAGACGAATTAAATAGCCTATAATAACACGAATAACCCTGAATAGCTGGCTTTAAACCCCACAATTTTCTATTGATGGAAAATATTGAAATATTTAAAATAATTGAAATAATATTCAAACTATTAAATAATTGAAATAATATTCAACTATTAAATAATTGAAATAATATTTAAACTACTAAATAATTGAAAGAAAATATTCAAACTATTAAAATAATTGAAATAATAATAATTTTTTTTTCATGCAAAATCACAAGGATAATTGTAAATTGTGGTAACGGTTTCTGAGATACAATTATGATAAAGATAGGTTAATATTCGGAAGTAGAAAAAATGTATACATTTGTTGTAATAATAAAATTCACACCGCAAACAAGATTTTTTTTTTTTTTCAAAAAAAAAAAGAATATTTCAGCCCAACTTTAATTTCTTAAGATAAGAAGTTTTAACCAATTCAAAACTCCGATTGACAGCTTTATGAAAGCTATGGCGTACGATAATGCTTGAATTGTTTACACGATACAGATTACGCAATTTTCTACAATACATGCACCTAATTAAAACATTTGTGGTAAAGTACATATGAAAATTTTAAAGTTTATTAACGAGATGAAGGATAAACGTATCACAAGTAAAATTTTGTGTCGCAAAAACTTTAGCGTCATCTTTGAGTAACCGCGTATAAAGATACACGTTTTTAACTTTTTATCGGAGTGGATCGGTCGATGAATTTTGCATTTAATGTATCATAATCGTGATCAATAGTTGACCAATAAAAATTTTCAATATACTTGACTACTTTCTTTCTCTAGTGATGCAATCGAATTGTTATATATAATTTAAGTGATTATTTATTTATTTGATTGATTTATCTTTTCTTTTGTAATCATTGATTATGATTATGCATGATCTACTAATTTTATTATCTAAAAATATTTGATAGTTTCAATTTAGAAATAATTTAAATAAAATAGAATCTTGGTCATCATCACCTGATTTTTAATAAACCTTGAAGTTATTTCATTTTGGCTGATTACGCGATAAACCATATGCCACTTTTCTTTTTTTTTTTTTTTTTTTAAATCAACGCCATTACATAAGTGTGTATGCATACAATAAGTAAACAATCATGTTCTCATGTTTCTAAATGTTATACTACTCCCATACACTCTTCATAAACCAAATGAAGCATATTCGTACCAATTAAGAGAAGCATTTCGCATTGACTTATTATGCAATAAAATTGCAGAATGTAAAAAAATCTTTTCTATGAACTTATTGCAATCAATTGTGGCATTAATCAAGAAATTAAATGCGTTTCTTGCCCCCGGATTACAGGATTAGTTTGATGCCAAACTCTTTAAATTAATTTTGATAGTTATTAATGGTACAACTGGCTGCAATAGGTCTAGAACAATCCAAGAATAGTTTCTTTTTTGTGTACAACATATCAACTTGTGCAAAATACTTTCTTTAATCGCAGCTAAACGTTTTAAATATTGATATCTTAATGTTAAATATTTTATATTGTACAGTTATTATCTTCTTTAGTCTGCAAAACTTACAAAATTATGATTCATTTTCCTCCGAAACCGTCCGTATTCCATTTATAGCTAGTACTTAGTTTTTAAGATAATTATCATAAAGTATCTTGGGCGTTGGGAGTGAATGGGTACAAACTCTAATCAAAATAGCCTAATTTCTGTTTCAATTTCATTACGGTACGTTTGAAGTCCATAATACGTAGCTATATTCATTTATGTATCCTTGAATTAGAAACTACCAGCATTAACATTAGCAAAAAGCTTACATAGCATAACTAAAAAGGAAATTTCCATGATTAAAACCTTATTTATTTATTTTGTATCTTAAACTGCGTAATTTTTATGTGATTGTGCTTTCTTTAATCACATTTTGTGTCTCACTTTTCATTCACACAAATTACAATCACATAAAAATATTTA